GTCAAGGCGGGTGGAGTGGTTTCCTTTAAAAACAAGTCGGCAATGGCAGATGCCATATTTCTATCATCACAGTCTCCCTTTAAAAAATAAATACAATTTCACAGTCTGCTGTGCAAAGCTGTGATCTTCCCTCACATGTGACAGATTCTCATTAAATTGACAAACAGCTTTTAAAGGGGAACAAAATTATTCCTGTCCTAGCTAACTAGATCCATAGGACAACACTGGGTTCCTGGAAATTATTTAGCATACATCTGACAGATGGAACTCTAGATGACAGTGTTGTGATGCAGACTAGAATATTAAAGAAACTTTAAATTTCTAGATAGCAGAAAGCAGTGAAGAAAGTGTATGTAAACCCAAAATCTATTTTTTAGTAGGTCTGGCAGAATATCTCATACTATAAAGTTTTCTTATACAAATTGTGAATTTGTTTGAAAGTCTCTTATCTGGAGCTCTTTCCACAGGATCACAAAGGGGTGTATTATGCTTCAGCGGGGCAAAAGCGAATGTTCTCAGGCTATTTTCTCTGCAAATTGAATATTATTAATTGAAAAAAAAATGTTGGAATAGAGAAAAGACTACATTATTCCCTATTAGATGGTGCTGAGTATCACAGAAAATGAGTATGCTCCTCTGTTCCATATAGTGACCATAATGCGGTGTTTTCTCCATTTACATTTTTTCTTTTAATGTATAAAATTTGATCTACAGGGAATACAGCCTGAGAACATTCCATTTTCCCCACTCACACAGAATGAATTTACATGTAGTTTTGATGAAAGATCAGCTAGCAAATGTTTTATATATACACCCCTAAGTCACTGCATTACATTTGTCAGCCTGCTGTGTCCTCTCCTTTAGTTGGCAGCAGGCTGACAACACAGCTAATTGCGAGGAAGTGGCTTAGGGTTGTCAGCCTGTAACAGGAAGTGCTGTTGATGGCAGGATCTCCAGGTAAGAAACTTTAATCTACATTTATAAAAACAGTTTTAAAAAATTAAAAATACAGTGAGACCTGATGCCAAATATACTAAAAAGGTATTGGGGTTTACATATACTTTACAGGGTCAGTCCACACATGCCTGAGATTTCAGTTTAAGTAGGTGTTGGAGAGGTAAACAGGCTGACAATTTTTTTTATCATTCTTGCCAACTCTCTTAGGGAGATTTCTGTACTCCTTGGGTCCCACACACCCTGGATTTGTTTTTATTATATATCATGAAGATGGTTATTGGAGGAGCTGGAATGCACAAAATTCATCCAAATTTCCCAGGTGGACAGAAAAAAAGTTGGAAATTAAGGCAGAGAGATCTCATTGTTGGAGTATTAAAGCAGAACTTTACCCATAACAACTTGCTAAAAAATAATGTTCTTTTGCAAGGAACATACATTCCACAATAATAAATATGCTACCAAAATGAGTGTGTGCTGTAAATTGCCTCCAGCATTGCTCCTGTTTCTTCTTGCTGCAGTCTGCCATTTTGATGAAGTCCAGAGCCCCTGAGTAGCAGTAAATCTTCAGGCTGTCCATAGATCGGCCTCTACGTTTTCAGTACAGTGCCAAAAAATAGAAAGTAACTGAGCATGTGCAGAACAGGGTGAAACTGTGTGTTACTGAATTTTAACCTGTTTGCGCAGAGAGTACGCAAATATTTGGCCTCCTGGCGGGTGGGCTTTGATGTCGAAAGGCCACATATTTGCGTACTACAATGAGAATAAAAATCACAGTGATGGTGTAAAAAGTGGCGCACACACTTAGCAGTGATAAACTAATCATAAAAATAACAAATATAATAAAACATGATATTAATAAGCAAAAAGTCAATATGTGAAAAAAAAAAAAATATATATATATATATATGTATATATATATATATAAATGTGAAAAAAATATATATATATAAATATATAGTGTGAATCTAAATAAAACGTCACATATCTAAATCCACCTTATAATAAATATATCATTATATGGTGGATTTAGATATGCGACGTTTTATTTAGATTCACACTATATATTTATATATATATATATATATATATTTATTTATTTATTTTTTCACTTTTTATATATATTTTTTTTCCACAATTATATATATTGTTTTTAACCTATTACTGACTTTTTTACTTCTTAATATGTTTTATTATATTTGTTATTTTTATGATTAGTTTATCACTGCTAAGTGTGTGCGCCACTTTTTACACCATCACTGTGGGTTTAAATTTAATTTTGTTGGATTTATTTATATAGTGGCAGCAAGGGATGTTATGATATTGATATTTCACTTATGATTTAATTTATTTTTGCATCTAGAGCGATATTGTGTATTTCACTGTTGACTTATGCACTGGGTTTTTGTTTAAGTACAATGTCATGAAACACAGTTGCCTGCGCCTAACAGAAAGCTCCCGGTCGCTACTTGCTATCGGTAGAATTCAAATTATGTGACCGTTGTGACAGCCAATCACCGCAGTCACATGATCATAAAACCCATGCTGCCTCCTGGCATCAGAAACCCTTAAAGGGCCGGGAGGCGCCGATGTTACATGGTTAAACACTATAGGCTCTTATTTTTAATGTTTTAGCTGCAAAAAGGGCCAGCATGAAGTGATCTAACAGAACTTAAATTTCTGACTAAAGTTCCACTTTAAAGTTCTGTAGGAAAGGGACTGCAGTGAGAGCTCATTCACACCAACCGGGTTTTCTGCAGAGCGTTAAATACACACACACTGTTCAAGTGCGTTGCTTTAGGACAGTCCATTCATTTGAATAGCCTGCCCAATGCATCACAACAGACCAAAAATCATGCGCATAGTATTTTCATCAGCAGGCATTTTATCACACATTTTCATAAGCATTGCTATGCAGTGTGCTGCAAAACATCGCCATCGATGGGGTGAGTTGGGGTGCCATTCTGAATTGCAGCAGTGATGCAACATGCATTGCCATGTGAGTGGTCTCCGTTCCTTTATGGAAGCCTATCACAAGAAAAATATGCAGATTGCCATTTCTGACTAATTCTTCAGAAATAATGTTCGCATGGCTGTCACGCTGACCCTCTTGCTGCAACAATTTGAGTCATTGACCAAGAACATGTACATACAGTATATAAAGACTTCATAGATAGATAAGGACTTCAGCCTGTTCTCTGTCATTAATGATATGTAGAACTGTTCCAGATTCAGTATAACAATCAAGCAACTGACAGAAATGGCAACCTCTGTATGTTACTGATAGCAGTTTTACTTTAACTGCTTCCTCACGGTCCTGTAGAAGAAATACTGCTACAGGGCGGCAGGGCTGCACAAAATCACGTGTGTGTGTGTGTGTGTGTGTGTGTGTGTGTATATGTGATTTGCACTTCCAGGTAGGGGCCATTGGCGGCTACAGATATCAATCATCGGTTCCCAGCTGGAGATTCCCCGCTGGCACCCGATAATCGCTGAGAAGCAGTGGTAAACAACACAGGTCTCTCTCCTGCCAGCAATAACATACTGCTGTGTATCTTTGCACAGCAGATAAATACACAGCAGCATGTTTCCCTAGTAAAACAGCACACAGTTACCCTACATTCACACCTATGCCGGTTGCGGTTTTGTGCGTTTCTGCATTGCGTTTTGCACTTGTGGTTTTGCCGCGTTTTTGATGTGTTTTGCTTTTTTTTTTTTTTTTTTTTTTTTTTTATTTTTCTTGTTGCTAGGCAGATTTAAAACACATCAAAAATGAGTCAACAACGCAATATATTCTTTTCTGCAGTGTTCCTGTTGAAGTCTACAGAATCAAAAACTCAACGTTTTGTATTAAAAAAAAGTCCCTGACCCTTTCCAAAAAACGTACCAGGTGAAAACGCACAGGTGTGAACATGTCCCATAGGAAATCATGTTAAATGGACTGTACTGCGTTTCTGCAAAATGTAAAATGCTACAGAAAACGCTTGGGTGTGAACCTAAGGTTAACCCTTTGATCGCCCCAGATGTTAACCCCTTCCTGCCCAGTGTCATTAGTACATGTCAGTCTTTTTATTAGCACTGATCACTGTATTTGTGTTACTGGGGATGTCATTGGTAGTTAGTTCCCACCCAGTGTCCAAAACGCTCCGCTGCAGTCCCACAGTCCTGCTATAAGTCGCTGATCGCTGCCATTACTTGTATAAAAAAAAAAATTCCAGTATATATACCACCATTTATAGACGGTTTAACTTTCACACAAACCAATTAATTTATATTTATTGGGATTTTTTTTTTTTAGCAAAGAAATGTAGCAGAGTACATTTTGGCCTGAATTTATGACAAAATTTGATTTTTTTTATGTTTTTACTGGATATGTTTTATAGCAAAAAGTAAAAAAAAATGTTTTTTTTTTTCAAAATTTTTTTTTTTTTTTTTTTTTTTTTTTTTATAGCACACAAAAATAAAAAACACACAGGTGACCAAATACTACCAAAAGAAAGCTCTATTTGTGGGAAAAAAAAGGACATACATTTTATTTATGTACAGCATTGCATGACCGCACAATTGTCAGTTAAAGTAAGGCAGTGCTGTATCGCAAAAAAAGGCCTGGTCAGGAAGGGGGGGTAAATCCTCTGGAGGGTAAGTGGTTAAATTCAGAATAAAAAGTAGTCAAGATATGCATAAGGATGTACACAGGTAAGGGGAGGAAAATCACAAATAATAAGATTCAGTCTCATGGGAATTCTATGGTAATGCGGTTATTTTTTGAACATTTATTATGCAGCTTTGTTGTTTGATGTAGAGTGATTGTGAAAGATGCGGTTTTGAATCAGTATCTAGCTGAGCCCCTCAGCCATCTACATCAAACTGGAGCCTGGTAGGGAATTCACAGTAAAATCAATGCTGCCATCTTGTGTACATTTTGTGGTAATGCCGTTCAGATATTTTACACATTCTAGTTTGGACAAGAATAGAGAATATATTTTATAAATGCTTTCGACATTAAAATTGTGTACATTTTCTTAATATCTGTGTTAACTTTTCAGAACTAATCCAAGCAAAGAGACTTCATGCACTGGATATAACAACTACAAGTTTTCGGCTTATATGGCCAAGACTCCTCTCCAGAGACACAGGGCATTATATACTGGAATTTTCTCCAGTAGCCTATCCACAGCAGAAGATGAAGGAGACATTGCCTGGAGATCGGACAAGCTTGGTGTTAAATGAACTAATCCCAAACACCACCTATCAGGTGACGCTTTACCCCGAATCAAATGTGGATTATGTCAGCCCTCAGTCCATTCAAGTCTCCACTCTTCATGGCAAGTAGAAAACTGTAATGAAGATTTTTGGATTTCTGAAAATGCCAAAGCATTATGATTTTATGTGTTTTTGACAATGTTAATTTTGTGTTTGGTTATGACTTCTACACAATGCCAAAGAAATAGGCTATCCAGGGGTGTCAAACTGGTGGCCCTCCAGCTGTAGCGAAACTAGAAGTCCCATGATGCCTCTACCTTTGGGAGTCATGCTTGTAACTGTCAGTCTTGCAATGCCTCATGTGACTTGTAGTTTGGCAACAGCTGGAGGGCCGCCAGTTTGACACCTGTGGGCTATGCATATACTTTTCGTGTACAGAAAGGGGGGATTTACTAAAAGTGGTGCACACAAAATCTGGAGCAGCTGTGTATAGTAGCCAATCGGCTTTGAGATTTTATTGCCAAAGCTTAATTGAACAAGCTGTAGTTAGAAGCTGATTGGTTACTATGCACAGCTGCACCAGACTCTTGGTGCACCAGGTTTAGTAAATCTCCCTCAAATACTTCCTTTTTCATTTCTACGTTGTTTGAACCAATCTCCCTTCTTTAATGCTTGTATTTGTTGCATTAACTGATCAAGTAGGGGTCAAAGAACTTTAAAGTGATGCAAAGCAAAAGCAGGTAAGTGCTTAGCAATTCAGCCTTACAAATCTTACATTCGGTTCTCACCCAAGAACATTTTCTGCATTGAGATTGTATGTTCTCTCCTTTTTTGCTTGGGTTTCCTCCATGCTCCTTTTTTTTTTTTTATACCCACAAACAAGAAACAAGTAAACTGGCGTGTGCCTAATGACTTATGTACATGAGCATCTGAGATCTGTCTGCATTTATTTGCCTTGTGTTCACCCTCACCAATAAAGTGGAATAAAAGCAAAATTCAAAATGACCTTGAGGGCAAGTTCAAACAACCCCTGCTGAACACAGTCCTGGAAGATAGACAAGGCAATTTGCTCTGAGTCCTATGTGTTCAGTTCACACCACTGTGCTGCAGTGGTGTGCACTGAGAAAAGCAGGACATACAATACTTTTTTTCAGTGCAGCGTAATGCAAAAGAGTGCACTGCATCATAAGCCAGTGCAGCGAATAAAGATAAAATAAATGTCACCTTGTAATATTTCACTATAGTTGAAAAAAGTAAAACGTGCCATGAGTCATTTATGAGACACTGGTACCACTCTTTTCACATCTTTGCAAACCACCTACTGCAATAGAACATGGCCAATGGTGTGAACAAGACCTAACTGATCCCATATGCCAATGTACAAATGCCAATATTGTCTGAAATAAATGTATAACCTAGAAAAGGACTTGCACTCTAATTCCTGCATCTGCATCCTGAAATAAAAAACAATGTATTGTCATAGATGGAGAAATCCAACAATGGTCTGCTATTATACTGATGGTGTTAGACTGACAAAAGAAGATGGGTGGCAAAAAACAAAACAAAACGTTTAGAATATAACTGTTTAAAACAGAACTTTACCCATAACAACTTACTAAAAAATAATGTTCTTTATCAAGGAACATATATTCCATGGTAATATGAGTGTTCTGCAAAAAGTTTCCACACTTATTAAATTATATATACTGTATATATATGTACAGAAACTTTTCGAAGACCCCTCGTAATTATGCTACCAAAATTAGTGTGTGCTGTAAATTGGATCCGGCATTACTCCTGTTTCTTCTTGCTGCAGGCTGTCATTTTGCTGAAGCCCAGAGCCCCTGAGCAGCAGTAAATTTTTAGGCTGTCAGCAGATTAGCTTCTACATTTCCGGCACAATGCCAAAAAATAGACAGCAACTGAGCATGTGCAGAGCAAGGTGAGACAGTCTATTACTGGATTTTAAACAGTATAGGCACTTATTTTTAATGTTTTGCCTTTTAAAAGGGGCCAGCCTGAAGTAATCTAGCAGGACTTAATTTTCGGACTAAAGTTCCAGTTTAATGTCCAGGGGCATGGTTTATTCTCGACTGTGGCAAGTAATCTCAATAACCCTCGGATCCAAGGGGTTCCACAGGGATCCCTCTGCAGACTCCTCAAGGGGCTGTACTCCTGCACTGTTGTAACCTGAGAAACATTTTGGCCTATGCCAGGTTCATTGTAGGCTGAATACCAACCATAGTGCCATCACAAATAAAAAGACTGTTGGATTTAACATGAGAATCACAAGTCAAACAAGCAGCCCCAGCCTTGTCATTTGTTGGAAATCTTGCTGACACTGCTTAGACAATATAAATATTTGTTTGTACACCCAATGGCCATATTAGTGTTATTAACTTTACACCTCTGATGTATAAATAATGATTATAAAGTGCTGGATTTATGAATACAAATTTTTTTTTTTTTTTTACAATTTTAGAATTAACAGAGGAAAGAAAACTAGAAGCTGATGAGGTAACAACCACAGGATTTCAGTTGACATGGTCCAGCTTGTCTGGAGATACAGGAAGTTATGTTTTGGAGTACTCCATTCTATCTGATCCAAAAACCCGGCTCCGGAAGACTTTATTTGGAGATGAGACCAGTGTGGTACTTGGTGATCTATTACCAAACACAACCTACCAGGTGACACTTACCTCAGGTTCCATAGAAAAATCTGTCCAGCCTGAAACAATCTATGTCACCACCCTTCCAGGTGAGTTCTGAATATTTCTTACATAGATGTTTTATTACATGATACTGTATAGAACAGAATTGGCATGCAAAAGGTGTAGTTATTTAAAAAAAATATCTATAATTTCATATAGCAAGTCCTACCCCATAGAAGCCATGATTTCCATACACCACACTGATGATATCCAAATAACCTGAAACAGCTGATTGCAGTGTGGAATACATGGCTTTATAATATTAGGCTGTTCTGGATGAGCATCTGGTCAGTGTGATATAAAGGAATGATTTGCATGGCTCTGCCCACTGTCCTGAAATGAGGAATAACCCTCTTATTTGTGGGATATGTGATGGAATAAGACATTTGAATACCTTCATTTCTAAGAAGGCTTTACTGTGTACAGTAATATAACAATCAAATTTAAGTGGTTGTACACCTCAGACATGAAATATGAACAAAGCATATCCCTCTATAGTGTGTACTTGTCTCAGTCCAGAGCACTAATTGTCATTTCTGTCTGCTGCTTTGTTCCTCTGCTATCAGCATGAATCACTTCTGACACATTTTCCTGACACCAAGAGAAAAAAGGTGACATGGGAGGGAGCTCCGGCAGATTGACAGCCTCAGCTCTGTTCCTGTGAGTTATGTGGAGGGGGTGCGTCTCTTCCTTCCAATCAGCTCTCAGAGCTCTCCAGAGTGTAATTTCACCTCTCCTCCCCTATATTTCTGAACTCTGAGACAAGCTTTTTAAATTCAGCACTTTGAATGGATGTAGAGAATACTGCAGATAAACAGGTACAACCTATATAGGAGGATTTGTTTCATCTCTGTGTATTTCCTGAGGCCAGTCACTTCACTGGGTATACTGTATGCAAGGGTTTACAATCGCTTTAAAACATAACTTTGGCAAGCATATAAAATAAGCGCCAAGTTCTGGGTATATTGATTCTAAATTGATTGCATATTTTTAAATGCTGCATAACCCCTTCCACACTAAGTTCCAGGAGGGAAGTGAGAGTGCCTGTACTGGGATCCAGAGACCAGAAGCTTTGCTAGGTAAACCTAAAGTTTTAGGCATCATTACAGGAAGGAAGAGCACAGGGAGGACCTTCGTATGATAATGATCATTCATAGTGCAATAACCTGGAGGGCAGGAGGTGACACAGGAAGACCTTTAATAGTAGTACTACCCACACTATATAGTATGGCAGGAGTTTGTATATCACAAGAGCATGCTGCACAGAATTCTAATTCTTTTGGTAAAGTCCAGCTCTGGGAAACTTTAAATTATCCCTTGTAGTGGGGCTGTGCCCTCATTGCAAGGGTAAATGGATCATCTTGTCTATGGGAGAGGAGAAGCAGCTTTACTTACCTGATCCTCTGCTCCCCCAGCAGATGGCGCTCCCTCACACTGCGGCAGTGGACTGCCCATCAGCTTCATCACATCCAATGCATGGTTATGTATCCTGCATTAGCCTTGGTGATATCAGGACTTTGGGCTGCTTGAGCATGGTGGTGGCCTTTCTAGCAGTATGGAGGATCTGGTAAACAAATCTTCTTTTTTGTGTTCCCTAGATATAAATTAGCAATTAAATTAGCAGAGCAGGGGCAGCCTCACTCTTAGGGATAATTTTAATGTTTTTTCAGAGTTGGGCTTTAATTATTTATATAACTATTTTGTCAAAATATACTGTTCCTGGTGCTGTATTTTATTTTACTCTACATCCCTCTTCTTATTGTACTCAGTTTCTCCTCCTTCCTCATCTCACTCTGTACTAAATTAAAAATGATTATAGTTTGAGTACTTAGGATCTTGCTTTCCTAAGTTTTCGTGTTCTTTTGGAACCTCTACTAATGCTGTGACTTTAATAAGGTTTGTCTATGTCTTTGTTTATCAATCTTTCAGATCTTAATCCACTCAAGAAACCTGCAGGTTCTGAATGTAACAATGACAAGTTTTAATGTAACTTGGTCAAAGTTACTGGGTGATACTGGACGTTACTTTTTGGATTACGCACTGGTATCTGATCCAAGGAGAAAGTTACGAAAGACATTATATGGGGATCAGACTACTGTAGTGGTCAGCAACCTAATACCAAATGCCACATATCAGATCACATTCAGCCCTGAATCCAGTTTGTCATATATGCAGTCACAGACTATACAGATCACCACCCTCCCAGGTGAGATCACTTTTTTTTTCTTTTAAAGAAAAATATAGTGTATTTTCAATGAGAACTTGTTTTGAAGTGTTTACTATAAATTCATTATTGATGTGATTTTTTCATGCTTGCTGTTCTTTTTTGGTAAGCCAAATCTGTCCCCTGCAATCATCTCTTTTCACACAAGATGTTCTAATTCTAAATGATGCTGGGCATGAGGACTGAGGATATACGTACCGTGTGTGCTGAGCATCATGGACAGCTTTCCCATATGATCAGCTGACTGCAAACGATAAATACCAAAGAGTAATATGAGGTTATATAAGCCATATTGATAATTTAATATGCATGCTGTTCTTTCTGTCAATTAGTGTAATAAAAGTCTATCAGATTTTGGGCCAGCCAATTTTATTTCACCAGGATCTTCAGGAAAGATGCTAATTACACATCATGATCTGTACATTAACCACTACGGGAAGACCTACAAATCTGTACATGGCATGGAAATCTACAGAATTGTTTAATTGATACACAAGTACTACAGCTTTTATCTAAATGTTTCTTTTATCAGTATTAATACCTACATCTCATTTTTTACAGATCTGATCAAAGCAAGAAATTTGCAGGTTTGGAATATAACAGCAACAGGTTTTCTCCTGACCTGGTTGGCATTGCAAGGGGACACAGGGAGTCATACTGTGAATTATGTGCCCATTTCTAAAACCTGGAGTGATATCACAGATGTTTCTACATGGAGAGACCAGTGCAGTGGTCAGAGACTTAACTCCAAACACCTCCTATGAGGTCACATTTATCCCTCTGTCCAATATGCAGTTTAGCCAATCACAGACTTTCCATGTCTCCACTCTTCCAGGTAAGATATGTTTTTCCTAGATGAAATTTCATGCTGTTACATATTTTTTTTTTTTTTTTTTTTAAATAGAAATAGCCTATGTTACTTTTCCAGTAGCAAGGTGACTGCTAGGCACGAATTGCCTCATTTACATTCTGTATACTGTTTATTTTATATCATCCTACCTCGAGTGGACTACGCATTAAATCTGTTTATTTTTGTATTTTACTAATTTGAAGGTTTATGGTGCTCACTGTTTTTTACCTCCTTAGTTCCATATTTCATGAGGCCTAGGAGGCCTGGTGGTCCCCCCCCCCCCCCGAGAAAGGGGTGGGCCAGCATTTCACCCCTAGCCTGAGTCCATGGCCAATGGTGGACTGAAAGAAAGTTGAGTGTCAGTCACTTTCCAACTTTTTAGAAGTTTTATTGGTCATCAAGCAAGAGAGGGTTTCTTAGACTTCCATACATCCTGTCCAAAAAAGTCACCAGGTGCATGAAACCAGCCTTTAATCTGACTTTCTCCAGAAAGGTCCTCCTCCTGGATCTTGATATTGGCACAGCTTCCCCCATGGAGAGGCAGGACAATTTCCAGGACCACTTCAGGCCTCCACATTCAGGGCACATGGTAGGCCCCGCACAGGCTATGGACCTAAAAGATAGATTAGTCCAGCAGCACCTCCCCCAGCCACAACAATAAGGGTTGTTGTTTTGAATCCCAAAAACGGCACTACCTGCCTAGAGTTTGCATGTTCTCCCTGTGTGCCTGCGTGGGTTTCCTCTGGGTACTCTGGTTTCCTCCCACACTCCAAAGACATGCTGGTAGGTTAATTGGATCCTGTCTAAATTGGCCCTAGTATGTGTATGTATGAATGTAAGTTGGGGACATTAGATTGTACTCCCCTCCCTAGGGTTAGGGACTGATGTGAATGTACAATATACAGTATATGTAACGCGCTAAATAAATTAACGAGGCTATACAAGTGCCTGTAATAAAATAATAATAATTACATAAACAATAAATATCTTAATATCTATACCACAAATCAGTGATCATGTCCAAATAGTGATATCAATAGTTTTGAAAACAATTTGTGTCCAAAAATCAGCTCAAAAGAATCAGATTCCATACATCCAGTTCATATGTCCAGTTTATGCACCAATCAGTGCTCACACAAGATCCTTACCAGAGAAATTTGAGCACTGTATAAAGAATGGTCAAACAACGCATGTCCTTGGAAGCATTCACCAATTTTTCTTATATATATATATATATATATATATATATATATGAGAAGAGAGCAACACTCATAGGGTAGTACAGTAGGAACTACTCTATTGAAATACTAAAAGTGCACACTCACATTATATATAAAATACAATCCAGTAATATCACATGTACAAGCATGAGATCGTCAATACCTTCCCACATCTGGTAACTTGTTTGTGATGATGTCACATCCATTAGCCCCTCTCTTTGCTTTTCGTATCATCTGGAAGAGTCCCCATTGCTATCAAGACATTTCATTGCCGGCAGCTCACAGTTTGTTAACCTAAATGCAATAATCCTTTTTTTTTTTTTCTATTGCTGTCTCTGATATGGTCTGTTTTTCACAGGACTTGTTCAAACTAGAAATCTTCAAGCTGTTGATATAACAGCTACAAGCTTACGTCTGGTTTGGTCACGATTACCTGGAGATCCAGAACTTTATGTTCTGGAGTATTCACCAATTTCTGACCCAAGGTTGACACAACAGAAGATTTTATATGGTGTGGAGGCTAGTGCAGTGGTTGGCGGTCTACTGTCAAATACCACTTATCGGATCACACTCTTCCCTCACTCTGCCCAGCATGTTCAACCTGATGTCATCATGGTATCCACTAAAATAGGTAGGTTTTATTTAGTGTTTGTCAAACTATAGCATCTATACAATTAGGGTCGGAAACTTCTTTTTGGATGACATGGAGCCCATAGACAGGGGCTGTTTGTTCCATAGTTAAAATCACTGTGCCCCTTCTAGTTCATTACAGATGTCACTAGAGAGGAGGCAGATCTGTTTTATCTGGCAAGAACCACTAGGCAATAGAGAGAGCATGAAGAGGACTAATGATGAAGCATAATTTATAATCATATTAGAGTATTTTTGATCAGGACCGCCGCTGCACCCAATGTTATTCCTCATTGGACTGGATTTTTTGTTGGTGGCTTTGGTCTACTGCACACTGAATATCAAAGACAAAACTGATACTAATAAGAACAAGACAACTTGAACCTGTGTTCATAGTGGCTGTCTCAGGGACTGACCCAGTTTTCACATTTCTGCTTCAGTGGAAGCTGCACTGAAAAGGACATAGTCATGTAGTCAAAGTCCCTGGTAGAAAACCTGAGACCTTAAGACAAATATATAACACTATCAAATGAAAGCAACATGATGACTAGAGATGAGCGAATCGAACTTGGCGAAGTGGAATTCGTTTCGAATATTAGGAAAAATTCGATTCGCACCGAATCCGAATTTTAGCAAACTTCGGATGCACGAATCGAATTTTCCCCGATCAGCCGGCAAAAAGTGTCACTGCAGAGAGCTCCGCTATTTCTGACAGTTCTCTGACAGTTTGACAGTTCATTTACAGCGGTTGAAACATTGTATCTATTTGTTTCCATTTAGGATACAGATGTTTTTATTCGGAAAATAAATAGATACAATGTTTCAACCGCTGTAAATGTGAAGGAACTGTCCGAGAACTTCTTTTTTTCTTCTTTTCATTCTTCTTTTTCATTCTTCTTTTTTCTTTTTTCATTCTTCTTCTTTTTTTCTTCTTCTTCTTCTTCTTCTTTTTCTTCTTCTTCTTCTTTTTTCTTCTTCTTTTCATTCTTTTTTTTCATTCTTCTTCTTTTCTTCTTTTTCTTCTTCTTCTTTTCTTTTTTTTTCTTCTTCTTCTTTTTTCTTTCTTTCTTTTTTCATTCTTCTTTTCATTCTTCTTCTTCTTTTCTTCTTCTTCTTTTCTTTCTTTTTCTTTTCTTTTCATTTTTTTCTTTTTCTTCTTTTTTTCTTTTCTTCTTCTTCTTCTTCTTTTCATTCTTCTTTTCTTCTTCTTCTTCTTTTCTTCTTTTTCTTTCTTCTTTTCATTTTCTTTTCTTCTTTTCATTCTTTTTTTTTCTTCTTCTTCTTCTTTCTTCATTCTTTTTCTTTTCTTTTCATTCTTCTTTTTCTTCTTTCTTCTTCTTCTTCTTTTCTTCTTCTTTTCTTCTTTTCTTTTCTTCTTTTCTTTTCTTTTCTTCTTCTTCTTCTTTTCTTCTTCTTCTTTTCTTCTTCCTTTTCTTCTTTCTTCATTCTTTTCTTCTTCTTTTTTCATTCTTCTTCTTTTCTTTTCATTCTTCTTTTTCTTCTTCTTCTTTTCTTCTTCTTTCTCTTCTTCTTCTTCTTTTTCATTCTTCTTCTTTCATTCTTCTTCTTCTTCTTTTTTTTCATTCTTCTTCTTCTTTTTTTTCTCTTTTCTTTCTTCTTCTTCTTTTTCTTTTCATTCTTCTTCTTCTTTTTTTTTCTTCTTTTTTTCTTCTTCTTTTTCTTCTTCTTCTTCTTCTTCTTTTTTCTTCTTCTTTTCTTTTTTTTCTCTTCTTCTTCTTTTCTTCTTCTTCTTCTTCTTTCATTCTTCTTCTTCTTCTTTTCTTCTTCTTCTTCTTCTTTTCATCTTCTTCTTCTTTTCTTCTTCTTCTTCTTCTTTTCTTCTTCTTTCTTCTTCTTCTTCTTTTTTTTTTCTTCTTCTTCTTCTTCTTCTTTCTTTTTCTTTCTTTCTTCTTCTTCTTCTTTTCATTTCTTTCTTCTTCTTTTCTTTTCTTCTTCTTTTCTTCTTTTTCTTCTTTTCTTCTTCTTTTCTTCTCTTTTCTTCTTCTTCTTCTTCTTTTCTTTTTTTTCTTCTTTCTTCTTCTTCTTCTTCTTCTTTTCTTCTTCTTCTTCTTTTCTTCATTCTTCTTTTCTTCTTCTTCTTCTCTTCTTCTTTTTTTCTTCTTCTTCTTTTTTTTCTTTTCTTCTTTTTCTTCTTCTTTTCTTCTTCTTCTTCTTTTTCTCTTCTTTCTCCTTCTTCTTTTCTTTCTTCTTTTCTTCTTCTTCTTTTCTTTCTTCTTTCTTCTTCTTCTTTTTTTTTCTTTTTTTTCTTCTTCTTTCTTCTTCTTCTTTTTTTCTTCTTCTTTCTTCTTTTTTCTTCTTCTTTTCTTTTTCTTTTCTTCTTCTTCTTTTCTTTTCATTCTTCTTTTTCTTCTTTTTTTTTCTTTTCTTTTTTCTTCTTTCTTCTTTTTCTTCTTCTTCTTCTTTTCATTCTTTTTCTTCTTTTTCTTCTTTTTTCTTCTTCTTTTCTTTTTTTCTTTCTTCTTCTTCTTTTCTTCTTCTTTTTTCTTCTTCTTCTTCTTCTTTTCTTCTTCTTCTTTTTCTTCTTCTTCTTCTTTTCTTTCTTTTTCTTCTTTCTTCTTTTCTTCTTCTTTTTTCATTCTTCTTCTTTCTTCTTTTCATTCTTCTTCTTTTTTTTTCTTTTTCTTCTTCTTCTTCTTTTTCTTCTTTTTCTTCTTCTTTTTCTTCTTCTTCTTCTTCTTCTTCTTCTTCTTTCTTCTTTTCTTCTTTCTTCTTTTTCTTCTTCTTTTTTCTTCTTTCTTCTTTTTCTTTTTCATTCTTTCTTTTCTTCTTCTTTTCTTTTCTTTTTCTTCTTTTCTTCTTCTTTTTTCTTCTTCTTTTTTTTTCTTCTTCTTCATTCTTCTTTTCTTCTTCTTTTTTTTTCTTTCTTTCTTCTTCTTTTTTTTTCTTCTTCTTCTTTTCTTCTTCTTCTTCATTCTTTTTTTTTTCTTTTCTTCTTTTTCTTTTTTTTTTCTTCTTTTCTTTTTCTTCTTCTTCTTTTCTTTTTTTTTTTCTTTTCTTTTTTTTCTTTTCTTCTTCTTCTTCTTTTTTCTTTTCATTCTTCTTCTTCTTCTTTTCTTCTTCTTTCTTCTTTTTCTTCTTTTTCTTTTTCTTCTTCTTATTCTTCTTCTTCTTTTTTTTCTTCTTCTTCTTTCTTCTTCTTCTTCTTCTTCTTCTTTTCTTTTTCTTTTCTTCTCTTCTTCTTTTTTTTCTTCTTCTTTTCTTTTTTCTTCTTCTTCTTCTTCTTTTCTTCTCTTTTTCTTCTTCTTTTCTTCTTCTTCTCTTCTTCTTCTCTTTCTTTTCTTTTCTTCTTCTTTTTCTTCTTCTTTCTTCTTTTTTCTTTTTTTTTTTTTCTTTTTCTTCTTTTCTTCTTCTTCTTCTTCTTCTTCTTCTTCTTTTCATTCTTCTTTTCTTCTTCATTCTTCTTTTCTTCTTTTTTTTTTTCTTCTTCTTCTTCTTCTTCTTTTCTTCTTCTTTTCTTCTTCTTTTTTTTTTCTTCTTCTTTTTTTTTCTTCTTTTTCTTTCTTCTTCTTTTCTTCTTTTCTTCTTCTTTTCTTTTTTTCTTTTTCTTCTTCTTCTTTTCTTCTTCTTTTTTTCTTCTTCTTCTTTTTCTTCTTCTTTTCTTTCTTCTTCTTTTTTTTTCTTTCTTCTTCTTCTTTTCTTTTTTTTTTCTTTTTCATTTCTTTTTTTCTTCTTTTTCTTTTCTTTCTTTCTTCTTCTTTTTCTTTTCTTCTTCTTCTTTTTTTCTTTTCTTCTTTTTTTTCTTCTTCTTCTTTTTTTTCTTTCTTCTTCTTCTTCTTCTTCTTCTTCTTCTTTTTCTTTCTTCTTTTTTCTTCTTCTTCTTCTTTTCTTCTTCTTCTTCTTCTTTTCTTCTTTTTTCTTCTTCTTTTTTTTTTCTTCTTCTTCTTCTTCTTCATTCTTCTTTCTTCTTCTTCTTCTTCTTTTTTTTCTTTTTTTCTTCTTCTTCTTTTCTTCTTCTTCTTTTCATTCTTTCTTTTCTTTTTTCTTTCTTCTTTTTCTTCTTCTTTTCTTCTTTTCTTTCTTCTTTTCTTTTCTTTTTCTTCTTCTTTTCTTCTTTTCTTTCTTCTTTTTCTTCTTCTTTTTTTCTTTTCATTCTTCTTCTTTTCATCTTCTTCTTCTTTCTTTTCTTCTTCTTCTTTTTTTTTTCTTCTTTTTTCATTTTTCTTTTTTCTTCTTCTTCTTCTTTTCTTTTCTTCTTTTTTTCTTCTTCTTCTTTCTTCTTTTCTTTCTTTTCTTTTCTTTTTTTTTTCTTTTTTCTTCTTTTTTTTCTTTTCTTCTTCTTTTTTTCTTCTTTCTTCTCTTCTTCTTTTTCTTCTTCTTCTTTTTCTTCTTCTTCTTCTTCTTCTTTTCTTCTTCTTCTTCTTCTTTTCTTCTTCTTCTTTCTTTTCTTCTTCTTCTTCTTCTTTCTTTCTTTTTTTCTTCTTCTTCTTCTTTTTTTTCTTTTCTTCTTTCTTCTTCTTTCATTCTTTTCTTTTTTTTCATTCTTCTTTCTTCTTCTTTTTTTCTTTTTTCTTTCTTCTTCTTCTCTTTCTTTCTTCTTTTTCTTCTTCTTTTTCTTCTTCTTCTTTTCTTCTTCTTTTCTTTCTTTTTCTTCTTCTTTTTCTTCTTCTTCTTCTTTTCTTCTTTCTTCTTCTTCTTCTTTTCATTCTTCTTTTCATTCTTTTCTTCTTCTTTCTTTTTCATTCTTCTTCTTCTTTTCATTCTTCTTTTCTTTCTTTTTCTTTTCTTCTTCTTCTTCTTCTTCTTTTTTTCTTTCTTCTTCTTTTCTTTTCATTTTCTTCTTCTTTTTTCTTCTTCTTCTTCTTTTTCTTCTTCTTCTTTTTCTTTTCTTCTTCTTTTCTTTTCTTTTCTTCTTCTTTTTTTCTTTCTTCTTTTCTTCTTCTTCTTCTTTTTTCTTTTCTTTCTTCTTTCTTCTTCTTCATTCTTTTTTTTTCTTTTTTCTTCTTTTTCTTTCTTCTTTCATTCTTCTTCTTCTTTTTCTTC